AAAACAAACGCTAATAAATCACAAGCAACGGCTTTCTGTGTCTTTGTTGCATGCTTTATTCTTACTTTTATTTATTTATTTTTTTACTTTTATTTCCATTTATTTTATGCCTAATTTATTCCCGTGCCATAAGTTCTTGTTTCTTCAGTTTCTTCTGGGATATCTTTTTCTTCTGTGCAATTTCCTTCTCTGGTTTAGGAACAATTTGTTCCTTTTCAGTAAGGATCATCTCAGTGTGGCAGGGGGAGCTCATGTAAGGGTTAATCAGGCCATGAGCTCTGTACGTATAGCGGCGCATCTTGGGTGCTTTGTTCACCTGGATGTGTTCAGTAACCAGAGAATCGACATCTAAACCCTTAAGCCCAGCATGACTCTCCGCATTTTGAAGCATGTGCAGCAAAAATTCAGCACTCATTTTGGGCCACCGGCCCTGTGTCCAGCCCCACTGTTTGGCCTGGCCACACCTTCCAACTCCACCGTTGTCACACCTGAATGGCACACATTGCTTCTTTAATGTGACCTCCTTCAGATACTTGGTGGCCTTTCGGATATGCACACCCTGGATGGCCTGGGCAGTTTCACGGGTGTTCTTAAAGTGAACACGAAGATTTGAGCCTCTTGATTTGCATGATTTTGTGGGGGTTTCTGGGTCCAGAGAGCATCGAACCATTTTCACAGGTCCCCTCTGGCCGCTCAGAGGAAGCGCTCTTACTTTTATTTGACAGGTCTTGCTCTGTAGTTCAGGCTGGCCTGGCACTTGTGATCCTCCTGCCTCAGCCTCCCAAGTGCTGAGATTACAGGGCTGCACCACTACGCCTGAAACGTATGCTGTTATTTTTTGCATCCCTCATTAGGTCCCCCTACTCAGCTAATGACAACTATTTTTTAAGGTTAAACTACTCACAAGGTTTACAATACTGGGCAAATATTGCGTACAAAAGCCCTCTGTATTTTCTTTCTTTCCACTTTTGTAAATAGCTTCATTGAAATATAATTGACTTACAATAAATTATTCATTTAAAGTATAAATTTTGGTAAGTTTTAATATATGAAATTATGCATAAAACTGTCACTGTAATAAAGAAAATGAATATATCATCAATCATAAAACTTCCTCCTCTCCTTTACAATTCTACCCTCCTGCTCCTACCTGCCCCCATCCCTAGGGAATGACTGATCTGATTTCTGTCACCAGAGATGACTTTGCAAGTTTTAGAATTTTATATAAATGCATTTATGCAGTATTTTGTCATGTTTTTGCATAACATGATGGTTTTGAGATTCATGAATGACATATAAGACCACATCCAACCCTTTTCATTGCCGAGTAGCATTCTGTTAGGTAGGATATATTCTAGGACTTCTGCACTGTATTGGACTGTTGATAGACAGTTGGGGTGCTTATAGTTTGGGGATCACAGAGGAAGCTGCTCTGTCTCTGAACGGACGTCTACTTTTGGTTCCCTTGGATGAATATCTGAGTGTGGAATGGGGACTTCCGTAGGGTAGATGTATGGGAACTTAAGAAGTTGCCAAAGTGTTTTTAAAGTCGTGTCATTTTACATTTCCACCAGCAATGTGTTAGACTTCCAGTTCCTCCGCACCCTCATCAATACATGATATTGTTAGTTTAGTGTTATCCCATTGTGCTTTTAACTGTGGTGTGTGTGCGCATGTGTGTGTGCGCGTGTATGTGTGTGTGTATGGTACTGGGGATCAAACCCATGGGGAATCTATCACTTCTTAAAAATTTTAAAGTTTCGGGACAAGCTCTCACTAGGTTGCCTTGGAGGGACTTGAACTTGTGATTTTCCCTGCCTCAGCCTCCCTCAGAGCTAAGATTATAGGTGTGTGCTACTACGGCCGCTTAACTTGTGTTTCTTGAGTGACTGACAATGTTTAGCATCTTTCAGGAGGGACTTGTTATCTATATTTTCTATGGCAAAGTGTTTAATGATAATTATCTGTTGTAATCTTTTTTTTTGGTACTGGGGATCGAACTCAGGTCCTTGAGCTTGCCCAGCAGGCGGCGAAATCACTGAGCTAAATCCCCAGCCCCTATTTGTTGTAATCTTGGCGTGTTTTTTTTTAACTGGGCTTGTTTTGTTGGAATTTGAGTGTTGCATATATTTCACACATGAAATCTTTTATTAGATAAATAATTGACAAATGTGTTCTATTAGTCCATGGCTTGTCTTTTTGTTATCTTTCATAGAACAGAAGTTTTCAGTTTTGATAAAGTCCGCTTTATCAAATAGTTCTTTTATGGATTGTGTTTTTGGTGTTATGTCTATGAAATTTATTAACTAACTCAAAGTCACAAAACTTTCCCCCTGCATTTTCTTCTAGAAGTTTCATAGCTTTAGGTTTTCCATTTATCATTCATTTGGAATTAATGTTTTACCTGACTGAGGTAGAGATTAAACAACGTCTTCCTCCTCTTCTTTTTGCTTACTGGTATTCCTTTGTCCTGGAACAATTTTATTGCAACGATTATCCTTTCTCCCCAGAATTGCTTTCATACCTTTGTAAAAAATTTCATTGTTCCTATGCTCACCTATTTCTAGTGTTCTGTTTCCTTAATCTATATTCTGTTTTTACATGATTACTTCATTGCTTGATTACTGTAGCTTTATAGTAAGTCTTAAGGCATTGTTGTTCTTCAAGTATGCTCTTCATTTTCAAGGTTGTTTTGGCTATTTCTGGATCTTTTCTGTTTCCATGTGGATTTCGGTTTGATCTTCTATAACGTAGTTTGCTGGGATTTTGATTTGCAAGTCACTGAATCTATAGATAAATATAAGGAGAGTTCACATATTAATAATTTTGGGTCTTCTAGCATTTTAATTAGGTCTTAAAATTTCTAACGACAATATTTTATAGTTCTCAGTGTACAAATCCTAGACATCTGTTATCAATTATCTCTCTAAATATTTCTATTTTTGATGTTATTGTAAATAGTATTTTAAAATAGTTTCAATTTCATCAGTTACCAAATATAAAACTGGTGACATACATGTATTCATATTATTCTTTTATTATCTCTTTAATGTCTACGGGATATGTAGTAATGTCATTTCTCTAACTTTCTATATAGTCCATTTGGGTTTCCCACAGTTTTTTCTGGCCAACTGACTAAAGCGTCTTCAATTCCATTGATCGTCTTAGCTAACTTTTTGGTTTCTTGTGTCTTATTTTTCTGTCCTCTCTTTTGTTGTGTTCTGATCTGATGTTTACCAGTGCTTATCTTTTGTTTGCTTAGGGTTAATTTGTCCCACACCCCATTTGTTAGAGCAGAGCCTGAGACTGGTTTTGAGACTTTTCTTCTTTCCTACTATATGCATTTAGTTACCATTTTTAGGACTATAAATTTCCCTGAAATTATCACTTTGTCTCAACAGTTTATCTCACAGTTCCCACAGCAATACCTCACAGTTTCTTATTTCTTTTCATTTTCATGTAAAGCTTCTTCTAATACCATTTTTAAAAATGTGTTCAGTGACCCATGAGTTATTTAGAAGTATATTAAAATTCAAATATTTAAGGCCTTTGTAACTACCTGTCTTTACTTCTTTTATTAACTACATTTTCGTTTGACTTGAATCTTCAAACTTACTGGCTTAGAATGTGGTCAGCCTGGTAAATGTGTGTGTTCATAAATAGAATGTGCACCTGCCGTTTTTGCTTGAGTGTTCATGAAATGTGCAAGGTCAAGTTGGTTGACAGTGCTCAAATTTTTATCTTTAATGATTTCTGTCTATTTGTGCTAATTATTGAGAAAAAGTTGAAATTTCCACCAGTGTTATGGATTAGTCTGTTTTCTCTCGTGATCCTATTGATCTTTTGGTTCCTGTATTTTGAAACTCTGCTATTAGGCACATACATGTTTTGGGTTGCTATGTCTTTCTAGTGAGTTAATCCCTTTTTTTATTATGGCATGACTTGCTTTATTCTGATAACTACTCATTGCTTTTAAATCAACTTTACCAGATATTAAAATGGCCTTTCCAACTTTATTTTGACTCATCTTGTAATGGTATATCTTCTCCCTTCCATGTCCTTTGCTTATTTGTGTTTCACATTTAAATTGATTTCTCATGAGCAGTTGATAATTGGGTCTTGCTTTTTCATCCAGTTTGATAACCACTGTCTTTTGAATGGGATATTTAGACCATTTGCACTGAATATGACTATTGATATGTTTAGGTTTAATCTTTTTATTTCGTTTTCTTGTTTCATTTAATCTTTGTTCCTGTTTTCCTATTTTATTCCTTCTTTTGCATCAGGTATATTTTTTTATTCCATTTAGTCTTTGTTGTTTATTAGCTGTATCTTCTTGATTTATTATTTTACTGGTTGCTGTAGGATTTAAAGTGTATGTCTTAATATAGTCTTGTGATATTATACCCTTAAATGATATCATACCACTTCACTTGTAGTGGAAGGTGATCACAACTATATCCACACAATCTCTCCTGTCCCAAGCTTGGTACTAGTGTTGTACACTTTATTTCTTTCTATCTTATAATGTCCACCATACATGGCGGTTATTTTTGGTTTAAATAATCAATAAATAATTACCCTGTTAGTTAAATTTTGTTTCTTTGCGTGAAACCCTATTTCCATCTGCTATCATTTTTTTTTTTTTTGGTCAGATGACTTCCTGTGGCATTTTGTTACGTAATGCAGATCTGGGCGTGATGAACTCTTTAAGTTCTGTGGTGCCTGAGGAAAAGCCTTTCCTCCATACCATTTTGAAAAATATTTTTATCAGATGTAGGATTTAGAGTTTAGGGCTATAGTTTTTCTTTCTTTTTAGGGCTTCATCCTTCCCTATCTTCCTCCTTGTGTTATTTCTGACATTTCATCCCCTGTAATCCTTTGTTTTTCTGATAGAATGTATCTTATTTCAGAAGCCCTTTAAGCTGGGTGTTATCATAGCTCTCCCATCCACCTTACTTTACATCCATGTAAATATTTAGCTCTTATTTTTCATATAGGTCTGAAGTGGTAGAAGATTTGCACCTGGCCCCCCAGAAAGGCCGCTTCGAGAGCGTCCAGTGCAACTGCAGCTTTGAGGAACCCTGTGGGTGTCAAATGCCAGTACCAGTAGCCAAGCGCAATGATACCTTTCTGATGTATTTGAGAATCACAGCTGCTGGGGTAACTTTTCAGTCACCTCTAATGTCAGTTCAGCCCTTAAATGTTGGTAAGTTGTGCATGAAAAGGATAAGAAAGCTAAACGTCAAGATGCATGCAGATTGCAGTTTGTTCACTGGTTGAAGATTTTTCACTGGCTTCTATCACTTTCCCTAGCCCTGTGAATGAGGATGAATGTAGTGCAGGGGCCAGATGGCAGCTGCTGGAGGGAGGTAACAGTGATAGAAATGGCTCTGCAGCCATCACTGCAATTCTTATAAAAGCAGTTTGATTTTCTAGACAGGCGTGCTGGCACAGGCAGCTGAGATGGGAAACAGGGAGGACTGGATGCAAGGCTGTGCTGGGACACAGGGCGTCTGAGATGCCTTTTCCAAACCCAGAGATGTCGAGTGGGCAGTTGGACGTGCGAGAGGTCAGGAGATACATGGAAGTTGTCAATAGATGGGTCATAGAGGACGACCCGTTCAGAGCTCAGGAAGGGCAAGGAGAAGAAAGGAGGGAAGATGTGTCCTGGAGGCATAGTGGGGAAAGGTGTTTCGGGAAGGTGGCTGTGCAGCGGTGAAGAGTGAGGTGCCTGGCGACTGGCAGCATGCTGGCTAAGGGCGGGCGCAGTGCAGCAGGCTCAGTGGGGAGAGGAGGAGCATCTGACCAGGGCAGGCCGGTTAGGTGCCCGGTGCCGGTGCCAATGACACACAGTGAGAACTGCCACCTCTTGGGGCTGTGACTCTGGAGGGAGCAGACAGAGGGCGTAGGCATGGAACTGGGGACATAGGAGCCCAGGGTGAGTGTACGTTTCCATTTCGAGTTCAGTGCACATTAATCCCAGAGAGAAAATGTACAATAGTGTGCAGTTTTATGGTCTCCCTCCACTTTTGCGTCTTTGTTTCATTTTGGTTTTGGTCACGGGGACACAATAAAGTTGACCTTGTTGTCTCCTGATTTTAGTATTTAGCTATCTCTGCTTTAAAGTAAAATTTGTGATTATCATATAAGATAAGGCCTAATCAATTTGGCTAAAAGAGGAAAGCTGTGTCTAAATTCTTGAAGCTATAGAAAGTGAGACACATGGCATTTTACTTACTGAAAATAACTTCAAATCAGTAAATGTGTCAAGGTCGCGGGAGTTTCTGTGTGCCAGAGCGATGTCTGCTGCAGAAACCTTGCAGTATAGACATGTGCAAAGAGGAGATTGCGTGCTCTCTCTTCTTCCACTTTGATAGGCTTCTGATTTTTAGTGCATATTTGTACACATCCTTTTATATTTAACAAATCAGGATTCTAAGTGTGAATGTGTGATAAACTTTTTAAACAAATAACATCAATCAGATTTTTATAGCAGGAAATCACAATGATCAAAGTAATCTAATTTACTGATTTATAGTCTTTACCATTTAGGAGGGAGGAAGTGAAGATACATGGATGTTTGTAATAAAGCACACCCAATATTAGATCTTTGTTTCAGTTCTGTAACTAGCCCATGAATAAACTTATCTTTTAAGTAGCTGAAAGGCAGGAGAAGCTGAAAATTCATGTTGACTTCATTGTATTCAGATATGGTTATATTGAAAATTGTTTGACTTAGAAGTATTGTCTTTTTTTCTTAAGTGAAGCCTGATCCACCATTGGATTTGCATATGGAAATCACAGAGGATGGCAATTTAAATATTTCTTGGTTCAGCCCAACACTGGTACCATTTCCACTTCAGTATCAAGTGAAATATTCAGAGAATTCTACCACACTCACGAGAGAAGTAAGTATATTTTAGTAAATGGAATGGAAAGTTGGGAAGCAACTAAAGACTCTCATGCTCTACAGAAATTATGGTCTACATGCTAAGTATCCATATCCCTTCCAGAGCAGAACGAACTGTCCCTGACTATCATGCATTGGAGATATGTTAGACACATATAGCTCTAGGAAGTATAGCTAGAAAAACTTTGAACTCCTAATCGTTTCTATTTCCGGACTACTGATTTTATATTTCAGCCTTCTTTCTTATTGCTCAATACATGTGTTTACACACAGCATATGCAGTTCCACTGTGACGTGTATAAAGTCTTTGTTTTTTGGTACTGGGGATCAAACTCAGGACCATGCGCTTTCCAGGCAGGCGGGACACCACTGAGCTACGTTCCTGGCTGTCAGGTCTTTTTTTAATCATGCAGTATTTATAGAGCAGGGGCTGCTTTATGAGCATCGGGTTGCTTTGGGATGGACTGTGGAGGAGGGTGTGAGGACTAGGACATGCTGAGGTGACAGTGTTGACAGTGAGTGCGTTGGATGGGGCAGGCCACTTGAGAGTGGCATTGGAGCAAGGGTGTGCCCCTGTAGGCCTGGGGGCACTGGGTTCCAGGCAGAGACTGGCAGTGCAGAGGCCAGTGTGGCAGAGGGGTGGAGGCAGAGCCCTCAGCTGGTGAGGGGCAGCAATGGCTTCTTGGCTCCTGTGAATACTTTGCCCCGTTGCATTGTGGACTAAGGGTTATGTAATTCAGAGATATTTTTAGACCTGGGCTAACTTTTTAAGGCTTTATTGTCACAAAGAGCAGGTGGGTCATCCTGTGTATGGAAAATGCTTTCTCTTGTGGACACTGGAGACCATAGGGGCATCTGATACTGTTCCCTGCATTCTGGGTGCTTCTGGATTACTTTTAGTCTATGATTCCCCTTCCCCCAGTCTTAAGAGACCAGAGAGTTTAATAAGTTGGAGAATTTTACTGGAAAACCGAGTGTTTTCAGTAAGCAGTCCTTACTCAGCTGGAGGTTGTTCCGCACAAGGTTTCGTCCCGGATGTTCGCTGTGCTTTGTGAACTGGGTTTCGATTCCTGCAGCCCAGTTGACGACTAGGCGCAGGTTCTTAAACTCCTGGTGCCTTCCTTCCTTCCGTGGCCTGGCATCTAGGGGCTCTTCTGCTTCTCGCTCCAGCACAGTGTTTCCTGCCAAGGGCATTACAGAGCGGGAGCTTCCCACCGTCTTTGGCTGCATCACTCAACATTCTGAAAGTCCCATCTTATCCCTCGCTCACAACTTGTGCTCATTGCCGTGACTTTTTGGACCCATGACCAGTGTGCAGACCTTGGCGGCTTGGTCATTCATTTCTGTTTTAATTCCACGGTGGTCAGACGACTCCTCTGTGAGACTTTAATTCTTCAAATTCGCCGAGACTTGCTTGCGATCAACTTTGGGAAAGGTTCGTCACTGCGTGGTGTCGCTGATGTTTTAAACCAATGTTTGACAGGCGGAGGAGACGGTCTCTGTGACAGCCCTCCTGGTGGACAGCGTGCTTCCGGGCTCCACCTACGAGGCTCAGGTGAGGGGCCGGAGACTGGACGGCCCGGGGGCCTGGAGTGACTGGAGCACCCCTCGAGGCTTTACAACGCAAGGTAGGCCTTGGGGCCGTTTCCGCAGAGAAGGAATAGGCTTCCTGAATCTGCCTTTGGTGCATTGCAAGCGTCTTAGGTTTTGTGGCTCTAAAAGCAAAGAGGAGACACAATTTAACTTCTTATCTAAATTTTGAACAGGTTAATTTATTAATTAAAATGGTGTTGGTCCCATGTTCATGTGGTTTCATAGCAGTGATCTTGTTGAATTATTTTTCTTATTAAAAAGTTAAAAGTTAAGATTGAAGTCCTAAATTCAGAACATCATTGTATTGGTAATTCTTTACGTGACAGGTGAAAACCAAGTGTCTTGATTTGATACACATTTTAAATGTTAACATTTTTATTTTAACATTGAATATACTTAATGAATGAAGGCTTTTTACTGTAGATGCTTGCATTTGACATTTTCAGTGAAAACTTTTCCTAGTTTTGAAGATTGATTGATTGGTTGTGGTGCTGGGATTGAACCCAGGGCTCATGAGTGCCAGTCCAGACCTGTACCACTGAACTACATGCCCAGTCCCTGAAGTTATTTTTAATCAGAAAAGCTGCAGTTTCCTTGCAACTTCCTATGTGGACACAAGTCCTGGAATAGTCCTACCTGTCAGGGGCTCCGCCGTGATTACAGAGGGACATTAGTGGTCCTTGTACATTTTTTCCATGTCCGGATGTACTCAGGTTGCTTTCAGATATGTGGAAATGTCCAGTGCTGTGTGAAATACCGAGCAAATATCCAAGCCACGTAGTGCAACAAGTTTATTTATGACTGCTTACTACTTAAAAAGTGCTGACGAGCCAGTAACAATTAGCACTTGACTCTTGATAAGCACCGGTAAGTATTAAATACTGTAGCTCACAGATCCACAACCTGTGTATTGAGCGACTCCCAGTCCAAAGCGGGCGCAAGGCTGATCTGATGTGTGGGGAATTGCATAGCACAGAGAAGAGCTCAGCAGAGTCTGAAGCAATGGGAGGGTTAATGCCGAAACACGGGATGCCTGCCAGAGGTGATGAAACCCAGGAAAATTGCAATTGGGTTCTGCTACATAATGAAAACAATATTAGAAGTGTGGAGTTCTTCTAATATCTTTATTAAATGCATTTTAATTGTTACCAGAGAAGAGAAGAAACTGACATAAGGCAGTTTCCACATTGTGCATGTGGCAGCTCTTGTCATGGGTTAGGGAAAATATTTCCCCCTTGAAGAAATACAGCTGCATCTGCTCCAAGAATAAAATAGTCAGAGGTGGGTGTGTGGCCCGGCAGGAGAGTGCTTGGCCAGCTTATGCAAGTCCTGGTTTCCTTGTTTCAGTCACAATCTGTATGCTTTTGAGTAGTTAATGCTGGTAATACTTGTAAGCAGAATATCTTCTTTTAATAATGTTCATTCATGAAGATCTTGCAAAAATATTACTACTTGGTCATGAGAAGAAAATTATTATTGTTCTCATTTTACTCATTGAATGTTGCATAACATCTTGATGAGAATAATTCTTTATTCAAATTAATTATTTAGCATTTACCTCCTGAATTTTAATAAATTTGTTCCATGTACATTTTATTTTTATTTTTAAATTTAATTTAATTTTTTAGAGTAGGAAAAATTTATTGGGAGAAAGAAAGCTTCTGCCTAAGAGAGACAGAAGGGGGACTGGAAAGTGGATTGCCTGCCCAACCCACTTTTCAAAGATGTTTTGTACAGCAAAACCATGTGGTGAGGCGGGTACAAAGTGGGACAAAACTGTAAGACCCAATGGAAATTTACAAGGTGGACATGAGGTGGGACAAAACCATGACCAACCAATAAGATTACATGTACAGTCACCCAGGTAATATTGATCAAATGGGGGTCAAATGGGGGAGCAAGTCAGGTAGCAAGTGTACAAGGATTTTCAGTAAGAATGGGGGTTGGGGATATTTCCTGGAGAGGCTGGGGTAAGACCTTGACCCCCCCCCCTCCACCCCAGGTGACTGATACCTGTTTGGAATATCAATCACTGCTATTTATCCCCAGGGGAAGCACAAGGGTGTGCAGTTTCTCTCCTTTTACAATTCTGGCCTTCAGTGAAAGTCTTGATTGTCCTCCATGTTGGCTCCTTGCTGTGTTGGCTCCTGGAGGGCCAGCCCTGTCTAACTGCATACAAGATGTCTAATTAACTTGCCTATCTGCAATATTCCCCCTCTGAAGAAGTACCCCTAACTGCTGAGAGGGGGCAAAGGGTGAAGACCGTTCTGGCTACTTCTGGCTAAAGAGGGTTGTAGTTGTGATCAGCAGTTAGAGTTACTCTACAGAGAGTCTATCTAAAGGCCCTGGATAGGCACCAGGCATTGTCATCTTGGTAGCCATATAGCTTTGAGTCTGGAGGAGACAAAGGCAAACAAACAGTTAATACATGGGCCAAATTATACAGTCAGCAGGACTGCTATGAATATAGCCAATAAGGGTTTCCACCGGGAGGAACTAGTAACAGCCTCACACAAGGAGGATAAGGAGAAGGTCCAGGGGACTCAGAATCCCAACATAGAAGTCGAATTGTATAGCTTAGCAGTTATGAGCTGTTTACAAGGTCGATCTGGTGGATCCCGGTAAAAGAAGTCTAGCATAATTGTCATTGGTTCCATTTGTATGACTGCTTGGAGTTTGGCAGCCTCTAGGCAAGAATAAACAAAACTTTTAAGAAATCAGAGCATATATAATTGAAGCATGAGCACGCTAGAATGGAAGGGCAGGTTGGGGAGAAAGTTGCATTTAGAAATTGAAATAGTGATTATAACCTGGTGGCTCTTGGGTTCTTTCATTGATAAAGTTTATGTATAAGTCTGATACTTTGTTATAAGTCTCTCTAGTTTTAGCTGTAAGAACGTAAGAGACAATTTGAAGAACAAATCTTGCTTAAGAAATTTAAAACTCTAGCTGAGCTCTTATAGATTCTACCATAGTCTTTTCCTAATGATCCATAACTGTGTCAGCTACTGGTGTAGCTAGAAACTTCCAGAAGGGGTCAGTGACTGGAGCCCCTATTTAAATTTAGCTTTATGACCATGGCATTATTTTATACCTCTTTTGGTTATTCTTTTCTGCTGGGTGTTTAAGACCAAGTTAAAGTGAGACCTGTGTCAATCAGGATGAACCTCTTGCTATCCGTCAAGGTCAGTTAAGTCTCCTCAGGCATTACTTTGGAACCATGCATAGAGCTTCTCAGCTCCTCTGTCAGTGTTAGCCATCAGGATGGTCATGGCCTTGCTTGACCATGTTGCTTTCACTGAAAGCATGGGAGATTTTTCCCTCTTTGGGATCTTCCTTTGGCACATGGTACATTTGTCCTCTGGTGCCCAGCAATCTCCCTGCTCAGGAGGTTGGGTGACTTACTAAAGATGTAGGATCCTGTAGAAAATGTTCCCTCATGTCCTGGATTCTTTGTTGACCTTGAGGGGCCAGGGGCAAAATATTGGCTGTCCTCTTAGCCCTGTTACCTTTCTAGGTTTGGTCTCCAGACTTTAGTTGTTGAACACCCAGAAGAGAAGATCAGTGACATAAGTATTTCAGTAGGAGCAGTGAGCTTAACTATTATAATAGTTAAAACATCAAGGACTTTTGAAGTATAAAGCACAGTTAGAGGGCTGTTATTTTACCAACCATGGTTGGTAAAATGTTAACAGACAACAGTTATATATTGTACTTAAGATCAAGAGCCACTGGTAGCATTTTAGCATGACAATCATGATGATATCTTCTTTGTAACACTTACTTGTCTCTCTTAGTATGGAATAGTCTTTCAGTCAGACATCTTCATCTGATCACAAGACATTAAATGACATAAAGAAAACTCTTTTTTGGACCAGAGATTTAGCTCACTGGTTCCGTCGCCTGCCTTGCAAACCCAAGGTCCTGAGTTCAATCCCCCGTACCAAAAAAAAAAAAAGAAAAAGAATTACTACTAAGAGTTTTCCTGTTTCTATTTGATTATAGGACAACAAAACCCAAATGTCTTGTGTGGATTGTAAATATACAGTTTAGCAAGCTGTTACAGAATAGAGAAAACTTAAAACCAATGAAAAATTTTTGTTTTGTTTTTAGGGGTAATTCAGGAGGTCTGTGTGAAGACAGTTACTCATATTCTACCAAGAGACAATGGCTTTAAATTGTGCAGTTGAGATGTACTGGTATTTTATACCATGTTGTGGTAGAAATAACCTCTTTCTGTGTAAATTATTATCTACTTTTATCCCGTTCCTCCTTGATAATAATGGGCAAACTCTAATAATAGATGACTGAAAGAATAGTATGGAACAAACAGTAAAATAGGAAAAAGTAGTACGGAACAATGTAATAAGCATTAAAAATCAGGTTTTAGGAAATGACTGATTCCCCTGTCCTCCATCACAGGATGCTGGCATCAGATAACTCAGAATGGTATCACAGATGAGTATTTAGGGTTTTCCCTGCTTCATATATGGGTACATTATTCATATGACATTTCCTATTTATTTTTATCTCATTTCTCTACTTTACATGTTTATTTGAAAACTTCATATATCCAAACAAGACAATAGCAACAGCTCCGCAGCCCCTTTCTAGTCAGAATTTTGTCTTGGAGTGCTTTGCTCTAAGAACCCATGCTGTGTTTCCCTGAGACTTAGAGAGAGGTTTATGTCATTGTGGAACTAAGCCACATTTCACGTTTGCTGATTCTCTCCTCTCAGTTAGCAAGTGACAGGTACTGATGAACACATATCTTGTGTTGAATAACCCAGTGTGCTTAGAGGACAGCAGAAACGGGATCCTGGGTCATCTCCATCCACTTGAGGGGTGGAGTTCTTGCGATGCTAACTGTTCACCAGTAGCCGAGACAGAGTTTCCAGTTTTTTGGTGCATGTGTTTTATTTTGGCAGTGTAACCCTGGCATGCTGGAATGTGGTGAATCTTTTGTCCCCGGGGCAGGTTGCTTGCATGATGTTTCATTTCTTCACCTGATCGCCTGCCTTTCTCTCCTCTCATTACAGATGTCATATACTTTCCACCTAAAATTCTCACAAGCGCTGGGTCTAACGTTTCCTTTCACTGTATCTATAAAAATGAAAACACGATTGTTTCCTCACAAGAGATCGTTTGGTGGGTGAATTTAGCTGAGGAAATTCCTCCAAGCCAGTACGATGTGGTGAGTGACCATGTTAGCAAAGTGACTTTCCTGGACCTGAGAGCGACCAGACCTCGGGACGAGTTCACCTACGATGCCGTGTACTGTTGCCAACAGCACCAGTGCCACCGTCGCTACGCCGAGTTGTATGTGATTGGTAAGAATTCTGAGGTTTTGTTCACTTTGCCACACACATTCAACTTTCATGATGGACCCTCTACTTAGAGTCCTATTAAAGATGTCAGGAAAAAGTTTTCATTAAAAATGATTGGTGCTTTTACTTTACATTAATATTTTAATGTGTTTTAAATAGATGTCAATATCAATATATCATGTGAAACTGATGGGTACTTAACTAAAATGACTTGCAGATGGCCAGCCAACCCAATGCAATCCCTCGTGGGGAGCTCCTGGCAGTTGAGATATTACAGGTACGAACTGTTTGTGCTGCTCAGTCTTCCTGTGTGCATGGTGAGGAAAACATTTGCTTTAGAAACATTGCTACAGCAGTAGCCTTGTAGATTGTGTTTCTGAAAGCAGAAGGTAAAATGTTAAATGGGAAATTTGTGAGAAATGGGCGATCCTTGAAAAACATTCATACCCGAGGTTTAAAATAATTATAATTTGTTTTTATTTCAAATTATCTTTTCTGACAACAAATCTGTTTCCTATAATTGCATTTTAACTCTTGGATGACATATAGAAAAAGTTGGTTTACAGACATTTTAATTTGACTTAGACAGTGGACTAGAGTAGAATGTAGGAGGATTTAAAAAGTATTAAATGGTCGCTGGGGATTTAGCTCAGTGGTTCAGCCGCCTGCCTCGCAAGCAGAAAGACCCGAGTTCAATCCCCAGTACAAAAAAAAAAAAAAAAGTATTAAATGGTCACTAAAAAAAAAAACGTATTAAATGTTTGGGTGAAGATTAATATTTCAGAGAAAAGAGAACGATGAAAAGATTCAGAGAAACAAGATGAACGGTTTTTTCAAACTAGATGAGATTATCTAAGAAATAAATACTTAATACAGTCATGTGTGCCAATAAAGAGAAATATGTGTTTAATTTTATCTTTGTTTTATAAATATTTAAGACATCTTCGCATAGCTTTTGTTCTTATCTCTATAAAGTGTGTTATCTAAAAGGATGTCACCCTTGATTAGAAGGCAGATAAATTTTTATTTTTAAAATATTCCTCAGTAGTTTTCAAGAATATGTATGGCTCTTAAGCACTATTCTGTGTCTTGTTTTTATTTGTACTGGGGAGCTTCATTTGTATAATATACTCATTTGTTCTTAAAATCTAAAATTTCAACTTGAAAAATAAATTGCCTTCCTCAAATACTGAGATCTGAATTTTATTCCTAGTGCTATAAGCGTACTCTTATTTAGCACAGTGTTAGAAAAATGGGGCTGTTACTGCCTTTATTCTCCTTTAGATGGAGATTTAAGAATCAATGCATTTAAAACAAATGTTACTTTTATAATCCATCTTCCTGTGCTTTCTATGTGTTTTCACACTAAGGAGAAGTTTGTAGACTCTCATGTAATCCCTGTGTGTGACTAATTACCTGACTCACATACACAGAGTAACTATGAAACTAGCTGCAGACAACCTGAGTTTCTTAACCTCAGTTTCTTTGGCTGTAAAATGGAGAGAAGAATAGAGAGCACTTACAGCATTTGTATGAGAATTAATGATATATTCCACATAATTATAATTAAGTGATACAACTACTGGACAACATTCAACAAATGATCATGGCTGCCATGATGCTAATCATTTGGTTCCTTGGGAACAATTTTATGCTTCTTCATCAGTCTCGTTTTCTGTCCAGTGATGATTCCTATCCATCGTTTTCATTTTCCCATTCACATTTCTTATTCCAACACACACACACACACACACACACACACACACATGCCACACACGTACATGCATGGAAATCTTGACGAAATAAAAAAATTACAAAAACAAGAAATGAGAGAGTATAGATTTTTTTTCCTTCTCATTTCTTCCCACCCATTCCTGTGGAAAGAGTATTTGCTACTTTCACTAATTAAATACTATACTCAGAGAAAATAGTGATAGAAGAGTTGTTTCAAAGAGGAGAAATACTTTGTATATTCTGAGCTGGAATGTTGGTTGGGATTCAAAATATTTTTCTTAATTTTCTTTTCTGAGAAAATGAGTATGATACTCTCCTACATGATTTGTGGATGTATCAAGAATTGATATTATTTTAGTTATATTAAAATATTAGGATACTGTCAGTAAAGCTATAATTCACTGTCAGTTACATTCTCAATTTGTAGTGAAATTTAATCCCCTGTATTAAAGTGTGAGGAATTTGTTTTCGTTTAATCCCTGGAATCCCCCATTACTACTTTTGATTCATATTTTTAAAATTGTATCTCCAGTATGTAATATTAGCGTAAATTTAAAGTAGTGTGGGCTCTGTCTCTAATGGCATTATATCCTCGTTAGAGCATTTATTTCACTTGCAACCCTATTTAGTGTCTAATAAAATATTTCATAGGAGGTACTATGTGTTTCTGTGCAAAGACGTAAGATTAGGAATTCAAGAATGCCTCTCTAGTAATAACATCTGTTATTAGATGGAGCAAAACTCTTTTAAATAAGAAATCAGTTCTGAAATATTTTGATGCTTTGTTGATGTGATATATTTATTGTCTATTTTTGTATCTTTTCAGGAGCAGCCTGTATTGTTCTGATAGTCCATCTATCTCTCCAGTATCGGAACCGAAAGATTGTCATTTGCAGCGGGATGGCTTTTATGAATGCATTTTCAAGCCCATATTTCTGTTATCTGGCTACACAATGTGGATTCGGATCACTCACTCTTTAGGTTCCCTGGACTCTCCACCGATGTGTGTGCTCCCGGACTCTGTAGGTGCGTCACACTGGGCTGCGTGCTGGGATTTGCTAAGCTTGCAGATCTGGGAATTGAAGCAGGGTCCTGGGCATGCTCGGGGAGAATGCTACCACTGAGTCACACCCCCAGCTCTAGCTGCATTTTTACTGGCATGTTTGGATCTAGATTGATTTAGGGTTAATATTGTACTTGCCATTTTTCTGATCATGCTAGATTTTGAAAAAAATGTTTCCATTTACAATGGAATTGAGATCACCCACAGAAGGTTTTATAGCTTTCAGTTTAATTTATATTATTTACAGTATACTTATTCAAGTTAGAATGTTTTCAACATGCTACTTGATGAATTGGTTGGGAGATTGTAAATAAAATGTTTTAATAATTTTCTTGTAAACAATATACGATTTTACATGTTTTGGTTCCAGTGTATTTATGAAAACATTTGGTATTTTTAATCCAGAAGTTTAACTTGGATATTCTAAGGGTTTTTATAATCTGAGCGATCATAACCCAAGCCTTTGATTTGTGAGGCTGAAAAACAAGCATTCAAAATATTTGAAGTGGAGTAAACAGGCAAAGATAATAAAATCCATCATGAATACTTAAAACATACTTTTCAAAAAGTGTTTTGATTTCCAAGGATTCAGAGCTCTTGAGAAATTTGATGTGTCCCTCTAATATCATTGTGAAATCTTTGAGAAATGACCCATTTATAATCATACAATGGAAGTTAAGACCATCTTTTGGTGCTGAATTCTGTTTTGTTAGAAACTATGGCAAAAATCAATATTTTATTCATTATTTTTTCAGTTAATACACATTTGAATTAAAACTACATTTTGTTAAGTGTAGGTTAAACTTGTTTTAATTACTAGGTTTCTTTTTCAAGATAACATTCCAGTCAATTAATTCTCTCCTCCTCTGTATAATTTCATTCTAAGGGGTTTTGTTGCAAGTGGTACTTTTCTGGTACTAAATATCCTAGGATAGCCAGAAAAACGCCTACCCTATCCACACACACCTGTAACACATATGTTATATGTGACAAATGCGACATGGACTCAGTAGTACATTCTATCTGAATAACCTTTGATGGTTTGCTTTTCAAAACTAAAATGAAGGTTTAAATTGGGCTTATGTTGCCTTTGCAATAGAAAACAGTGTGGAAATTGAACTTACAAATCCAATCCCAGCTCCACCTCGTACTGGCTTTGTGAACTTGGACTAGTCCGTCACACGAATACTCTCTACCACCCTTAAAATGTGGACAGTTCCCATCAACAATTGCAGTTCGAAGAGCACTTCCTGCAAACTGAGTAGCTACTGAATATATCCATATCATTCAGATGAGTACAATCACATATTTAACTTTTTATCACCTCTTGAGGTTGATACTTCCTTTCTTGAAAAGAAATTCTCTATTCTAAATAAAAAAATATTCATCATCTTACTGGGTTGGTGATAATACCTGCTTTGAAAATGAAGAATTGAATAATCACGTGGATCTATATATTAATGAGAAATTTTAGGTGTTCTTGTATGAGCAGTCTAAAGTATTAGTGTTCACTATTTTTTTAAAAAAGTGATTTAAACAATGCTGTACCAACAGGAGCAGTGCTACACTTTCACACAGTGGTTTTGTGTAGAAAGTGAGACTTGGGGAGGAGGGAATTACTGACAGCAAACACCCACGTTGCGCCAGTCCACCACAGTCTCCTCCCTGTGTGTGCCTCGTAATAACATACGGAGTCCAAGAAAGCAGACCAGAACTTGTGCTGCCAGCTCTGTCAGTCTTCCTATGCATCATGTCTTCTATTTAGTATTAGTTCCAGCTTGGGTCGTTTAGGTGTTTCTGCTTGTTTTGGTGGGCTGGGTGCGTTCTTCCCTTTGCCCACTGGCTTTCCTCTCTGCCACTGTGGCCGTGGGACATCTTGCACTTGATATTGTCCACTGGCAGAGGTGACCTGCAGGGTAATTCCAAGAAGAGAGGCTTTCCAGCCTCAATCCTGATCAGGCATCCCCTCAGTGGGTGTGGGTCGTGGGCAGGTGTGGGGGGGATCCGATATGCACTGGTTTCGGAGGAGATGTTTTCAGGAGAAAAGCTCTTCACCAGGTAGCATGAAAGTATAGTATTAGATTTTTTAACAAGTTTTTCGGCATACCAGCTAACCCTGTGCCTTCTTGTTGTGGTAACGAAGACAGACTGGGGAACACACTCGGCATTTCGAAGGTGACACTTGGAGTAGAGGCCGGGTGCTCCAGTGGCTTGTGTTGTGCTAGAGCTTCTAGGCTTTTGTTTCAAATATGTCAGGTGTCCTTATTGTCCTTTGTCCTTAAAGAGTAGTCCTCAAAGTGACAACTAATAACCTGGGGAAATGTGCGGAGTGGGTATATGCCTATGCTAAGGTTTCTACTTTAGCTCTGGAAACAGCAATGTAAAAAGGTGAAAAGAGAACAAGATAGCTTTTTTCTTCACATTTCTATTTTTTTTAACATTATAATTTACATGTATCTTGCTTATAAGTTTGTATTTTTAAAAGCTGTTGTCTAAAAAAATCACTTGCTATTCAGGTCATTTCTGACTGTTTTTCTGGTTATTAAAAGCCTGTTCTTCAGCCTATAGAAAACCAAAGTTTTGCTCTGAGAAACTACCTCTGACTGTGGCCTTAGCATAGAAATAATTAATAATGAAGAAGAATCTGAAACTCGCCCAATTGGAAACTTATGCAGGGTGTGATTTTTTGCCTCAAATCGGAGCTCCATGCAGACCCTAGTTTGCTTGTTGATGTTTACTGTGTGTTTGGTGTGTTGGCTTTTTGCACGGGGTCAATGACTCAATTTCTGATCAGGCATTTGTATTAATCTGTAGAATGACATAGAGAATCTGGTGCTTTTTTTCATCTTCTTTGTTTGCAAAATAGGATATTCCCTTTCTTATACATCATGTAACGTTACAGGGGATCAGATGTGGTAATGAATGAGAAACTTTTGAAAACTATATTGTTTTATTAATGCGAAGTATGAAACGTAACAGTGTTAAGCATATTGCTTTCAATGACTATTCCATAATACCATTTTAAAAATTTCTAGTGAAACCACTGCCTCCATCCAGTGTTAAAGCAGAAATTACTGCAAATATTGGATTATTGAAAATATCTTGGGAAAAGCCAGTCTTTCCAGAGAATAAGCTTCAGTTCCAGATTCGCTATGGCTTACGTGGAAAGGAAATACAATGGAAGGTACCTTACTCTACATTTCTTTACCCTGACTAACTAAATGCTGTTTCTCATCATATTTAAGAGTTTTATTGCACACCATGTTGTTCTTACTTGCACAAAATATATCCTGCTGTATTCTGTGTTGTCATTAATTTGATTCTTCAAAGTCTAACTCTTTTAAGAACAAAATCTCTTGATCCACTGTTTCCCAACATAATGCTTAAAGAACACCAGCCTCATAAAATGTCCCTCTCAGAAAGATCGCGTGGCTAAGTCCCTTCAGGAGACTGGCACCACCGTCTCTTCATGGTGGGAGCTGTGGTATATCACCTTGTAAAGGTTTGGAGAGATCCTAACTTAGGAAACATTTGTGGCTTTATTAGCTCACCCCATATTTCCCAACCTCATTTATCCAAGGAATTCTTTTAACATCTGCTAATGTGCTGAGGTGCACATGTGTTCAGTGGAGTACATTTTGAAAGAAGCTGTTTTAATCAAACAACCAGAATCACAACCTTAGTGGCACTTGTGCACATGACGGCTTTCTGTGTCAGTTTTGTGACAGCAGGCTGCAAACACCTAAAACTGTCAGGAGCCCGAGTTATGTCAGTCGATCACAGTGATTTCAGGTCAAATGAGTGTGGAGTCGGGTGTGGTGGTGCATACCTGTAATCTTAGCTACTCAAAAGGTAGGGGCAGGAGGATTCCAAGTTCGAGGGCAACCTAGGTGACATAGCAAGACCCTGTCTGAAGATAAAAAGGGAAGAGTATGTAGCTCAGTGGAAGAGATCGCCCTGGGTTTGATCCACCATACCACTTATAAATAAATCAATGCACAAACAAACAAAAGAATGCGATCATTTACCTGTTTAGTGAGGGAAACAGTATCAGTGAGTGTCTGTAGAGGGCCTATCTAACCACTAAGTAAATTCTCACAAGTCTTGGTGGATAGGGGGTAAGAGGGCGAGGGTTAGTAACAGGACAAGAGAGTGCCTGGGAAATGAAGTTGCAAGTGAAGCGATCCAAAGTCTTTTCATTGGCAATATCAAGAAAGTGTAAATAAAGATTAAAACGAATAATTGATAATGTGAAATAGGAAGAAAAGGTCCGAAGGGGTAGGGGAAGTGGGAGGGGAAGGGGAAAGGAAAGAAGGGAAAGGAAAAATTATGAGAAAAGAAAAAAATGAAAACAAAGTCTCTGTAAATAGGAAAAGGTGGAGGGGGTGAAGGATGCACAGGTAATGGGGAAAAAATAAGAACCAAGATTCATCATGTTCAGGTACAAGCACCCAATGATAAATGTAAACGTATTGTATACCTAAAATGTACCAATAAAAGAATTTAAGCAAAAATAAAAAAGAATCAGAGAAATCCTTGACTCGAAGGTGCTAACGCTCAGAGATGATTACCATGACTCTTCCTGAAGCCAGGTAACACAGTCAGTTCTCTCATAGTTCTGAAGTAGTGTTCAAGTTTGAAACAAAATGCACTCCAGCCTCTGCAGGCAGATGTCGTGATCGACCTAATTTGTGGTCCTTTGCAGACGCACGAGGTGGATGACGCAAAGTCGAGGTCTGCCAGTGTCCCCGTGCGAGATCCGTGCGCAGTGCACGCTGTGCAGGTGCGCTGCAGGAGGCTGGACGGGCTGGGTTACTGGAGCAACTGGAGCAGCCCAGCGCACACTGCGGTCACGGACGTCAGAGGTCTGCACGCCTTGTGCCTTACACTGCGTAAGAGCGTGCTTCAAAAGCGCCTGAAAATGCTACTTCCAAATCTGCTTCTATAGCTTGGTCTTCTTGTCCTTTTACAGTTCCCGTGAGAGGACCTGAGTTTTGGAGAAGAATTAATGGAGATATTACTAACAGAGAGCGAAATATCACCTTGCTTTGGAAGGTGTGCCTGTTTTTATGCTATTGTTAAGTTTTACTTCTGTGCTCTTGCTAGGTCTGATTCATCATTCATAATCCGGTCATCGCCGTTAACCTCTCAGAACAATCCGCAGTCCTGTACTTTAGTTCATTCTCAGGTGGGATTGCAGAACCAAGAGTGTAGTGGCTGGGGCATTGGCATGCAGATGGAGGCTTCAATTCTCGTGTCAGTTTAGTCTGCTATAATTAGGGTGTTATTATTTTGACAGAGTCACTTAGACGCTTTGAGGCTCATTTTCTCCATTTGGATAAGTGTGAGATTGGATCAGATGATATTTAGTGTTTCTTGAGGTCCAAGCTTTATTCATATTAATTCTGAAGAACATAAACGTGCCTTGCCTTCGCACTGCAAGACCATCTAAAACAAGAGACTAATTCTGTCCATAGGATAGCATATGAATAATGGGTATTTCCGTAAATGTATTCAACCTGGAAATTTCAGAGTATTCTTTCTACCAAAGGAGTTGATTTCTATCCCAAGTGAATAGATCATTTGATCAATAGATGGCAGCTCTGAGAGTGATTTGGGAATAGAACACATGAAGTACAAGGATATTTGTCACTCTAAATTTTAATGTGAAATTCATTCTTAGAAGTACCCAACAGTGAATTAATACATGTTTGAAAATAATTTCCTCATCTAAATCTAATCCCTGTGTAAAATTGGGGTATATAAGAGTTTATGTACATTTAGTTTGTAAATCCATTTACTATATGATTTCAGGTGGTTAATAAGTAATGTGATTTCTAGGCAGTTTTCCATTTCAGTATTTATAATGTAATGTTAGCGTTAAGAACTGCCACTGAGGGCCTGGGATTCTGCTCAATGGTTCTGCCACCTGCCTGGCAAGCACAAGGTCCTGAGTTTGATTCCCAGTACCAAAAAAAAACAAAACAAAAACAAAGAACTGCCACTGATATTTATGAAGCACTTACTTATTCCAAGGACCTGTAACGTCTGTGTCTCCCAGGGAATTCAGCATCTGCGTTCTGAGAGACAGATTGGGGAGCTGAACTCCCTGAGGAAGGAGGCTCTGCTGAAGGAGAAATAGCCATCTCACCGGGCATAAGAGTGGTGCACGCCTGTCATCCCAGCACTTTGGGAGGCTGAGGCAGGAGGGATCATAAGTTCAAGCCCAGGCTGCGCAGTTTAGCAACTTAGCAAGACCCTGTCTCAAAAAGTAAAAAAGGGCTGGGGATGTAGATCAGTGTGAAGGCCCTGGATTCAATCCCTGTATTGAGAGGAGAAATTCTGCACCACCATCTTTCCCAACAGGATCTTTTCTCTTCCTTTGTTTTACTTCCGGGACACCAGGTCCAGAGGCCTGCCAGTCTAAGTGAGGGACAGGTAGCCCAGTGCCCCTGAGTCAGGGTTAGGGCAGCCACGAGGAGAACTTAGTTGACACAGCTTTTCCTTTTTTATTTATCATCTCCCAGCTGTAGTGACGGCCCTCCGATGCAGGGTGCGGCCTCCCTCTCTCATGCCCCCAACAAAACTGTCCTAGGAAGCTGGGAGGTGCCAGGGTGAAGCTCTCCTCCTCTCCGCTTCCTTTCGACTCTCCGGGCAGCATTGGGGAGCAAGGCCTTGGTTGCTTCTTAGGTGGGGGCCTCTGCTCCTCCTTGTCAGTCTTTGTTTCTTCAAAATGAGCGTGCACCTTCTTGGTAGAAAAGTGTCCTGATGGTGAGCTTACTTCATCATCTTCAAGGGTACAGTTGTTCTTGCTTTATTTTCTGGGCCTCAAGAAAAAAGCCCCGAAGGGAAAGCTGAGTTCGCCCGTAACTCGAGGTTCCCCTGTGTTGTTTTCCACAGCCCCTGATGAAAAACGACTCTCTGTGCAGCGTGAGGAGATACGTGGTGAAGCACTGGACTTCCCACAACGCAACATGGTCAGAGGATGCGGGGAACCAGACCCAGCTCACTTTCCTGTGGACGGAGCAGGCGCACACCGTGACGATTCTGGCCATCAATTCCCTTGGGGCTTCCCTTGCCAATTTGAACCTCACGTTCTCATGGCCCATGAGCGAAGGTAAGAAGAGGCGCCGAGGGGCAATCTGTTGCCGCTTTCAGTGTTTAACCCCTGCAGAGCCTTCCTGCTCTGGTTACTCTCCAGGCAGCCCGAGATTCTCTTCCCTCCTTCATTTCTTCTTTGTATGAAAAATAACAAAGGACCTTGTACATCGATTGTGCTCATGTGGTAAAACACTATTGAAATGGTATTATAATAAACGAGAAAGCTCTAGTGTATCTAATCTTTTAGAGCAGTGGAGGTTGTAGATCAACATTTCTCTTTCTGTAAAAATAAATGAATCATGGAACAAATTCTATGACCAGAATGGTGGAAAGAATTAAGCTCGTGAACCGAGGTACCAGTTGTGATGTATCGGTTCATGAACTTGATTCTTTCCACCATTATGGTCATAAGCCTAGTTGGATGAGAACCAAATTCAATGATTAGGGTCAGTGTCGACCTTGTGGAAAAACTTCTCATTCAGTTCTCATCCAGTTCAGTTTGGGACCAGAATCATGGGGAGAATTGAGGTTGTGAACCGGGGTAGCACTGTATATGTAAATCTGTAGTATTTATTTTATATAGTATACTAGTGATATACTATGTATTTTTATAATGTATATGTAATATACATTATATTTTTATAATGTATATGTAACAGTATGACAAGTTACATAGATGTGTGCTGATTGCTAAGGTTTGAAAATTACATTTAATGTGAGGGATAAACTTTTTAAAAATTAACTTTGGCATATTTGATTAATCAGAATTGAGAACCACTTTCACTAAGAGTTTGTAGTCTGGGTTATATATTCAAAGTATACATTTTTAATGGAAGATACAAATTTCCTGTATTTCTACCACCTGTAAAGGCCTTTCCAAGTGTTACTTCCTCTGTGAAGTTTCTACTTACATATCTCTCTTACCTCTTCTTCAAATTTCAGGGTGCTTTACCTTTCCTAGGATATTTTCACCCTGCCTTATATTATGATTACTTTAAACTTGCAGGGTAAGCTTCTTGTGGTTACTCGTTACTGTTTTACACTTACATCCACTAAGTGGTGGAAATTTCAACGTGAGAAACCTTATACTGCTGGCACCATTCAGAGTCTAATAGGTGAGACAGACATTAATCAAATCATCAGACAGTGAGAATCTATTTATAAGCTGAGATCGATGTTCTCAGGAGAGGAATACAATTTTATGAAAGAAAAGAAAAGAAAATGAACTTACCTGGCGTTGAGGGTCAGAGAAGCCACCTCGAGGACATGGTATAGAACAAAATATCATCTGAAGTGTGAGTTGGAATTGAATTTCCCTAAAAAGTTGGGGTGGAGACTGGTCCCCAACAGAAGAGCAGTCTGATCCGGTCCGTACAGGACAGGGGCTGCAGGAAGGCCAGTGAGGGTTCAGGTGGAGGTCGCGGTGGGTGGAGAGGTCTGTCTAGACTTGGCCCTCGGGGTCTCAGTGAACTGGAAATCTCATCCTTGGGACTCTGCAGGACGTGTTAAAATGAACACATGTGTGCTTTGAAAGCATTGCCCCATCAGCGAGAGAGCAGAGCTTAGAGGGAGTCGGGAGGAAGGCGGATAGGCCTGTGCAGGACTCCAGCAGAGAGCAATTTTGATTCTCTGACAAATTCCTTTTCTTAGATTTTAGGTAGAATCCCTTTCCTCCTCATATCATATATCCCTTCATCTATCTGTTTACATGACTCATGACGCCCAAGTATTCGCCATGTATTATATTTGTGTAAATTGTCTGCCTTCGCCCCTAAGCTAGTCGATTATGTGATCCTCAAGAGTGTTAGTAAATTTCCACTAATTTTGAATTTAAAAACAAATTTCCTTCTTTTCCCCTCAGTAAATATCCTGCAGTCACTTGGTGCTTACCCTTTAAATAGCAGTTGTGTGATTCTTTCCTGGGTTCTATCACCCAGTGATTACAATCTGATGTATTTTATTATTGAATGGAAGAATCTTGATGAAGATGATGAAATTAAATGGCTTAGAATCCCTTCAAATGTTAAGAAGTATTATATCTACGGTAAGTTTACTATATCATACATTTCTCTTATAAATCAATATGATACTATAGATTATCAACTCAAGTTATGTAGTTATGAATGAGAACTTCAAAAATATTGACAATACTACCATCTTAATACTTGTAATCTTAGTACCATATCAAAAATTTCATTTATTTACTTTGACCTTTATTATTGTAATATTTTATACAGTTGCAGTCATATATCATGTCCTGTATTTCTCCCCGATCTTTTCTACCATTATTTTAAGTGGTCATATCACATTTTACTCCAAAATCTACTTAAACTTTTAATTAAATTTGAGATTATTTATGTTGCTTCCAACTTCACCTTTTTAAATCCATTTTTAATGGCTTCTAATATCGACTGCCAAATTGTTGTCTCAAACTGTGTAACCACTTATAATGTCACTAGCAATGAGTGGTGGCACTGCGCCGAAGTGTGAAGATTTAGGACCTGGTGACCTAGGCTAGTGTACGCTCTTGGAGGTAGACCAGTTATCTCAAGAGGCGAGTAGTGCAGAGTGTGAGTGGACCACAGAGCTCCTGAAAGTCAGAGTGGGGGCCAAGGAAGTCAAGCAGGGAAGCTAAGGGTTGTGTGATCTTGTTACACAACATCATGCAGAGGACTCATACCTTCACTTCACTCCAGAGACCAAATGTAGCATCAGGTGAATTTATTTATGAATTGTTGATGGAGATGAATTCATTACGTCATTCTTCTCTGACTTTCTTTGAACCATGAGGATATAGAAGTTAGACTTCAAGAGATCTGCCTCTCTGGAATAATATTTCTATATTATTAGCATCTGGAAAAGGCATTGCTAGATCTGTTTTGAGCTTTGCTATGGGGACGGTCATTTTCCCTGCAGCTAGACCCCTAAGTGTTGCAGGAAGACTCTTCTTTGCATGGGAGTTCATGAGACTTTAGTGTGTCAGATACCTTGAATGGGGAAACTAAGTAATAAGTCAAACTCCTATAGAAAGGTAATATTGTCTACGTGGAGGACAAGGGAGAGAAGGGGCCATGGTGTCCTGGAGAAGGAAACAAGGGAAGGAAAAAGCCCATACATCCTGAACTTGAACAGATTGGTTATATGAGGAACATGACTGAAAAAACTATGCTCTTCTAGATCTGGGTTAAATTTTTGAAAAATCATGTGGAAAACTATTACCGTTGCTAGAGACTGGAAAGCTTTGTTTAGGTTTGCAGCTACCTCAATCATCAATTTGGTCCCTAAACAACAACACATTTCTGTGTTTGCATACATTTTAATATGCAGGTTCCACTGAGTAGTGGTTAAATAAATGAGCTCTTGCTGTATTTTTCCCCTCAGATTATTTTATCCCCATTGAAAAGTATCAGTTCAGTCTGTACCCAGTATTTTCAGAAGGAGTGGGGAAACCAAAGATAATTAATGGCTTCACCAAAGGTAAAAATTTTACATTTAGTTTCCTTTTACCCCGATATGTATTTTCTAATTTGTTAGAAGTAATATTGCCATTGGATTATTATTTTTTATGGAATCATGGAAGAGTTCACAGCCTTATATGTGTAGATGTGTCAGAGGGTGGATCAGAAAGAAATATTGTTTCCTCTAAAAATAATACTGGAAAAAACTCCCTGGGCCTCTTGTTATTTCCTCTTGTTACTGGATATGGAGTGCCAAATTTTGATACTGGTTTTTAAATTGTCTTCAAATTCAAGCAAGTCAATAATGTAGCTTCAAGAGTGAACTGTCTTCTCTCTTTCTAGAATAAAAATAATTTTAGAGATTATTTGCATATTTTTCAAAAAGCATTTATAGAGCATTGTTCTAAAAACTGGAGATCGAATGGCAAATAAGTCTCTCTTAAACTCCAATATTCTAAAAAGCAAACAAACAAACTCCAATATTCTAATGGGATTGAGGGGCAATAAGTAAATTATGTAGAATATAACATCAGGTAGAAATAAATTCCATGAAGGAAAAGAAGAGTAAGATGAAGAGATGGAGTTAAAACATGATATTTTCATCAGGATGGCCAGAAGTGGTCTTTTTGTGGAGCTGATATTTGAGGAAAGCCCTGGATACAAAAGGGCAAGGACTTCAGGCTAAAGGACAGCATGTGCAAAGGCCCCAGGGAGTGAGCAGGCAGTTCCCCATGTGCCTGGAGTGCACAAGGTAGAGACTGGCAGGTGTTGTAGGTGGGCGTCTTCATCCTAACTTGGCATTTCGACTCACTGCGTGTGAGTTGATCAGGTGGAGACATTTGACAGAGAATTTTAAAAAGCTCTTTTGTTAAATTTGAAGTATATGAACATAATATAGTTTTATCTTCCTCTTTATTTTTATAGTTTTGAAGAAAATGCTGATTTATGATGAAACCAGAAAAAAGTCTACATAGTTTTTGATATAGAAGGAAATTAGTATTTCCTGAAGCTTGAGTTGTATGAATTGTCTTTCTTTTTCAGTTGATGAAAAACACCAGAATGATGCAGGTCTATATGTCATTGTGCCGATAATTATTTCCTCTTCTGTCTTATTGCTGGGAACACTGTTAATATCACACCAAAGGTATGGTTCTTGGTGCCAAGAATCCTTATGGCAAAACCTCGTAAACATATTTAAATCTAGATATAAAGCCCAAATCATGAGTATTATCGTACTAAAATGTTTTTATGTGCACTCCATGTACACTTAATGTAGCGTAAAAAGGAGAAGGCCATTCTCAGGAGATGACTTTCCTTTTTTTTTTTGTGGTACTGGAGATTGAACTCAGGACCTTGCGCTTGTGAGGCAGGCGCAGTGCCACTGAGAAGTCTTTTTGATAGGGCATCATAACTCCAAGGAAGCCCCTGCACCTCACACTCCACATAGTTCAGGAACGACACACAGGACGGCGGGAAGTCCTGGCAGCGTGCTCTTGGGTGTAAAGTGGTTGAGGCTTCTACGGGCAGTCATGGGCCTTTCGAAATGGACTTTCAGTGGTGGCCTGGTGCAGCTGGTTCGTTTCTGACCAGCAGGAGCTGCTGTAGAAGAGCGGCAGTGCAGGCTCCGTCTGCCTGGCCGTAGTTCCAGGATGGACCCAGGGTGCCATCTCTTTCTCTGTGCCAAGAAGCTCAGACCAGTGAGGCGATTTCAAACATCCATGTCTGTGGAGATGTTTGTCTTCTAGCAAAAAAGAGGAAAAGAAGTTTGTAGGGTCTGACTTTTAGTTTTTAGTCACGTGAGAGGATGGGCTGTGTGTCTGACACTCACATGATGACCATTTTCAATATTTTTTAACTATGCAAGAGGTAGCACCGTGCCTGCCACACAGCTTTCAATAAAAATGGGCTATTTTATTATGATAACTAGAGGGAAATTTGGCAGAACTCATCTTGGGACCGAATGTAAAAACGAATCTGATCCTACAGAGGTTAACTGGTCTGATGGACTAATTTCTCTAATGTACATTCATTAACTATTAATATTGTCAGTATGCATTTTTTGTGTGATTCTAATGCTTTGTTTATCCTTTATAGAATGAAAAAGCTGTTTTGGGATGATGTTCCAAACCCCAAGAATTGTTCCTGGGCACAAGGACTTAACTTTCAGAAGGTCACTTTTTCAATATTTTGAATCCAGAATATATAAGATTGCATTTTAGATGCCATGTGACTTCTATATCTTTAAACATTTTTAAGATTTAAATGTTTTTATTTTATTCATTTAAATATGAGTGTTTATTATCTATTCTTAAAGATAGTAGATGGAGGAATTTGTAACTAGAAGGAAACAAAATTCAGTAGTTTATCATATGAGAGCAGACAATTTATATCTTTCTTCTGGTCACAATACATAATAAAATAAATGTTAGAATATTAAGGGTCAAATCTGAGGAAGGATAGATTTTGGGCTACACTTTTTGGTTCAAACTGTCTTTGGGGAAAAGACTTAGAATCAATAATCTCTACTATTTAATACACATAATTATTTAAATCAATTTAAAATTATACATAATTATTTAATTCAACTTAAAATTATGTAAATAATCTTTTTTAAATGCTACAATCTGAAAACATGCAGTTATCCTACTGAAGCTTCTATTTATGGAGATATTCCCATTCAAGATAGAAGACTATGAAATCGTCAACTATAAAAAAATAATTTGAACTTAGTTCTATAATAGAATTTTTTGAAGAAACACTGGAGCTTAATGAATGCTTTGTTAATTAATTTTGCCTGCAACAAGGTTGACTTTCCACCTATAAAATTGGAAAAAATAAAATTCAGTCTGCGTGTAAAATACACTGTGTTTTAACGCAGTAATTAGGGGTTATCGTGTTCTTGATTACGTCTTTCTTAGATGTAATCTTTTTTTTTCTTAAATTCTTTTATTGGCACATTTTAGGTATATAACACATTTACATTTCTCATTGGGAACTTGTACCTTTACATGAT